ATGCTCAGAACAAGGCATCTACTTTCCCAGGGCTCCCAAAGACTTCACAGGAGAATCTTGCTCTGCTTCTACAAGAGCAACTCCAGTGGTCACTAGGAGCAGTGTGAGCGGATTCAAAGGTGCAGTTGTAAGACCTAGAGGGAAGCTGGATGCATCTGGCTCATAAAGACCAGGCTAATTCTTCCCTTTTACTGCAGCTTTCTGTCTTGTTCTTCGGGTCTACTGGAGACATGTTTATTGGGGTGATAATGAACTGCCAAAGCAGCAAAACAGCTGAGTAACCTAAATAGAGTTTCTCACACTCTAAAAAAGCGAAGTAGCAAAATGGGTTGAATTCTGGAAGCTTGGAAGTTGAATGATAATCATCATACTGAACAGCTGGTGAAAGGGAAGAGCTGGCACTCAGGCAGTAAACCTGACCTAAATATTAGACATGGTAGAAGTATACAGGTTGTTTTATGAGAGTGAAGATATAGTTGCAGCTTTCCAGTCTGTTTTTTTATGAAAACAAAAAATATCTATATTTAACTTTATAAATTTCTCTGCTGCTTTCAGGTCATAAGCATTGGTATCAGAGCAGGATGTGGGGGTGGGGAGATTTCCACAGTCTGCAGAAAAAGAGGTGTGAACTGCATAATCTGGGTAAATCCCCTAAGAAAAAATCCAATCCCTAAAATAACATTTTTTTTAGAGTAGAATTAGAGCAATTTGGAGGCGGTAACAAGGGAACAACATAGGTGATGAAAAGAAAAGAAAGAAGCCCACTGAAGCCACAGTTGATAAGAATGACTTTATAACCTCAGTTTGCCTGGCACAGAGGAGTATTTAGTGCACAAACAGCTCAAACCTGAGTGTGAGACTTTTAGAATATTTCAGATTTTCCTGCATATGGATGGAAAAGTGTCAAAGGATACATGGTAGCAGACTTTATGGAAGCACTTAAGCAGAGAAGATGTAGGATAGCTAAAAAATTCATCAGACTTTGTCTCCTCATCCTAAGGGATAAACTTCAAGATACTTAGGACAGTTACATTCAATTCCTTTCCATTTAATTCCTATTGCATGGTACAGAAGTACAATACATAGTGGAGTCAAAAGCCTTGAACAAAAGAAGTGTGATCATACATTCAGTGTATCACTGCACTGATGTAGAAGGACAGGTTCCAGAAATAAGATTCCTGTGTTAGACCTCACCCAAGGAGCACTTTCAGAAAAGCTGTGTGGTTTGTGTGAGAGTTCTACAGACTTCTCACATCTTCCAGCTCTGCAGCCAACTTGATCATAGACAAGTGGTGTGTATCTACCTAACTATATATTTTTATATTTAATATATATATTATCTCCTGCTCTACTGTAGAAGGATCCTGAAGCCCTTAAATGACTAAGGCTTTTGGTTTTATAACCCTTTGTTTAAAAGGGTTATAACCTGTTAGTCATCCAAGTGGATGATGACCTATGATTTATGACTACAGCTCATGTCTAGAAAGCAACATTTTATTTTAAAATTGGACAACAAATCACAATCTTTGAAATTAAATAAAATTCAAATACACATAAGCAGGTTACTCTCTCATAAATGTATAACTAAATATAAAAACAAATCTTAGGCCATATGGTTTTGTATATACATGTCAACCTGGCCATATATTCATTAGACTATTTTTGTTTTGGCTTTCTACACTCAAATATTTGTATGTTTGCTACATGTGGGGTTTTGGAATAAAGTGAAAAAGGAACCTGAAGGAGTAGATCTGTGGCAAAAGTGGATACAAAAGTACGTCAGTCCCTACCTTCCTCCCCACTTCAACAGTGCAGAGTTATCAGTTGATTAAAATACTGCAAAACATGAATAGTTAGCAGCTCACACTGAAATCAGCTCCTGTGTTTCTATTAATGGCACCCAAATCTGGCTGTGTTCACTTGTTGCCTTCCTTATGGTCATTCTTAATTGTTTCCCCTGTCTAATACCTTACCTGGCCCATCATCAGGTTGAACTTGCCATGGAAATCTCAGAATGGCTGATCTCGCTTGCTAAGTCCTGCCAGGTCTAATGTAACTACCAGATTCTCTATCACTCCAGGCCAAAATCTTTGATTATTTCCTTGCAACTATGTGTGTCTTTCTATATGTGTTGTATCAAATCTGTACCTTCACTTCCACAGCAGCTGAGCCTGTTCAGTTCTCCCACGTGCAGAGCCAAATCTAGTTTGCTTCTCGTTTCTCTCTTGCCTTGACCCTCGCAGCATCTTCCCGTCAGACCTCCTACAACACGTTGCATCGTACCATGTTTGCACCAAATGAAGCGCAGTTGCCAAGCCCCCTATCTGAACATTTGATCCAATCACTCCCCCCTTCATGTCCCTCCGCTCATTCATCTCTTACCACATGAAGAAATCAAGCTGCCAGTCAGTACATTCAAAGAATTTCTTAGCTCTCCCCTTACTACTTACCACCCTTGCTGAATCTCTTCTCCCCCCACATCCTCTCATCTCCAGCAGCCTTGCTCCCCTCCGAGGTCTGCATGTTGGCTTCTCATCTCTTTGTTGTCCTGCATGCCTTGCTTTTTCTGCAGAGCTGCAATGTCACACCCTTGCATTTCTATTTATACTCAATTTTCTGAAAACATACGTACATCTCTGCCAACAGATTGAAACCCCCCTTGGCACAAGCTACGAGGACTTTTCAGAAAGTCCTTTACACGTTATAGTTTTTGCAAAGAAGAGACTAGAAAGAATAACATAGTCCTAAATAAGTGTTCATAGCTAAAAACGCAATGATGTTACAAACTGTGGTTATAGATTCATGCGTACTCACAAATACCAAGCAAAACGCTACTAAGATCAACCACCTTTTGGCAGGGATTCACTGCTGCTAGCACAGTGAAGTCCATACAGTTTGTCAGGGAACTCACTCTACTCTCCGTGTTTTGGTTTATTATTACAAGAAAGGATCTTTGAGCATAATTTAAATCAGTGGATTCTCAAGTGGGTGGAAAGTGATGTGTATGAAAAAAGTGGTCCTATATTTTAAGGTGCAAGCACCTAAACGAGGTCTGGAAGTATCTGAATGGGTGCTGTTTATACAGACAGCAATTTTAGAGCACTCACAGAGACTCTGATTTTTTATGTATATATGCATAAGGCAAACTGCTTATAGAATTGGGAAATTTGGCCTGAGTATTAATCCTAGTCTACAAATAGATATGAAATCCCCCTTGACAGGAGTGACTGTTTTTCAGGAGATCACAGACTTGTGTCATCTTTCTTGTTCAACCACAAGAGTTCCTTGGAACTCAGTCACTCTGCCAAGAAATGAAACAGCTTTGCAAGACTTGTGCTTGACAAACGTTTCAGAGTATGCAGCGTCTTGTCTTCAGCAAGACCACCGCATAGAGGCAAAGATACAAATATAGAGATCAACTGCACAGCAGCTTCTGTTTGTCCTTGTTTTCTGTTCCATGGTACTGCGTCACCTTTAGCAAATACTCTACAGATCTGTACATCAAGTGCTACCTTTAAATTGTATTTTTATGGCAAATGCAGGTTCTCAATTAGCATTGAACAAAATTGGTAAGGAATGTTTGATGATACATAGGTCACGATGCCTAAACAACATAACATAACAACAAGAAAGAGATAAGCCACTTCTTTTTTGGAGAGGGATAACCAATACATTCTATTGAGAAATATGGCTCCCAAGTCTGTCTATGATCTGCCCTATAAAGCCCAAGTCTTCATTTAAACAGTTTGCAATCCTGATGTTTGTTTGGATTTTGTTTTCCTCATGAACTAAATTCAACATAATAAAGTAGTTTCCTTGGAGCCTGCAAACAGTTCTAAAAATACATCAGCAATAGGGAGCTACCTCCTTTTACCCTGATGCTATGTTAAACCAAAGGCAAAAGTCAGCACTGATAAATGATTTACACAGAACACTTCAGAAATACCAAACTAATGAAAATACTGATGCTGCAGTTTCCCCACATTCCACAAGACTCCATCTCTCCAAACCTCAATAGCATCAGCAATACAATTACACATCACTTATTAAAAAGACCTACACAAAATATTAAAAATGAAGAAGCAGGGAAAAATGAATTGCATTTGTTTTAAAATTTCACAGTGCTGTTGTACTGACTCCATTAGTACATAGTATTTTTTTACATAATTCTGTACTCAGCCTGGTGCAGACTGCCCAGAACGGTGCCCTGAAGTCTAAGAAATCCAGCTGTGCTCAGTCTGATGCTTGTGGTCACTTCACTGCTGATTACACTGGGCTTGATTGCATCTGCAGAGGTATGTTGTGCCTGTGCCTCGTGGAGCATCCAGCCACACACTAATTAGGCTGCACCTGAAGCAGTCAGTAATCAGTAAACAGTAACCAGTGATAACTGATTAGTTATCAGGTATTGTAACCATTTGTTTTGAGTTTAGATATCTAACGACTACAAACATTTATCATTCCTTATACAAGTATATCCTGGATATAATTTTCTTTACTGACATACTAGGAGCTTTCACGGTATGTGGGAAAATTCCTCAAAATAAGGTGTATGAAATCTCTGACACTCAAGTCAACTGTTAAATACTCGAAATGGGAAGGCACCAGTCGTTTGAAAAAGCAATATGGATGCATGACCTACTTCTAGAAGGCCAATAGAGACACTCATCCTGTGCATCCATGTTCAGTGCATGCATTGCTAACCGTATGGGCTAGCAGGAGACAGATGCTTAATCATGCCACACCTTTTTAATTAATCCTTAATCATTGACTCACATCTACTGCATGTCGCTCAAGTGTTATTTTTTCCACAACATTTACCTTAGCATGTATTTCGACATGTGCTGTTCATTTTATGACTTCAGAAAGGATGTGGTTATGGTTTGACAGAAAGGAAGCTTTGCTGTAGATGGGAAGATAGAGCTCAAAGCACCTACGCTGCCTTATGAATACCTTTTTTTTTACATTAACTGTCTTCCTTCTTGTGTCTCTTTCTTGGACGGGCACTGAGCACATAGGACCAGCATCCCATGTCCTGGGATACAACCATTCTTGGCTCAACCATGAATAACTGTGTGCTCCTCGAAGAACTGCTGATCAAAAAATCCCAGCAGAAGAGAAGGACTTCACCTTCCAACTTTAAAGTGCGCTTCTTTGTCTTAACCAAATCCAAGCTGGCTTACTATGAACATCGCCATGGGGTATGTCAGCCATTTTCTCTCTCAAAACAGAATAATGAAGGGAAGGATGAAATTTGTTAAAGGAAGGGAAGGATGCTAATGGAGCAAAGCACAAACTTTATAAACTTTGTTAAATTTCATTAACTTTTCTGATCCTTACTACAGCATCATTCACTGAAAATTGCAAAGTGGTCAAATTTGAGGTGATCAGTGGGCATTTGGTGTGCACAGAGGAATAAGACTACTTTGCTGTTTATAGCAAGGGTCTAGTTTTGTTGCAGGAATTTGGCACGGTCTGTTGTAACTGGAGTGTGTAATAGCTGCGTGACCCTCTGCCTGGCAGTTCACATGGGTACAGGGGTGACCTGACGTGGAGTATTGCAGAGATCACAAGTGTACCCTAATAACATCTGCAAAAAGTCATCCACAGATCCTCACTTTCTCATTATTTTCTTCAGGACAGCAGATTGATGGCTGATAGGAGACCAGTCTTGCTTTTTAACAGAAATTCAGCTGCCATGTGTAACATGGGTCGTGTTCGGAGTTAGCTTCATAAGGGATGCAAGGATGACATCTGTGCTCAGACTAGGCATTGTTTCCCCAAACTTGTGTTTCCCTGGTTTGCTAAATATGAAGAAAATTAGAAGTCAGTCTGAGCACCCCATTGTGCTAAGTGTTCTAGTGAAGTGAGAATTATTTCCTTCTATTTAGCTGGATGTTTGCTGAGCCTCATTATGGTTGTAAATAATATTACTTGTTTTCTAACAGTCGCTGAGCATGCTGTTAATCCATTATGTTTAGGCACTGTTACTGTATGAAGAGCAGAACTGGGGATCGTGCTGCCTTGCTATACAGCACTGGAAACTTCAGACCATCTAATTTTGCTCAGTTGCAGAAAATTAAGTTAAAACTGAGCCCAACATGAAAAGCAAAATATGATGTGCTCTTGTATTTTATCATAGCCTAGTTGAGACTGAATAACAACTTTAATGGTTAACAGTCATTTTTACTTGCAAGTTATTTCTCTCAAATATGCTCAACAACATGTTTTTCTTGCTTTTGTTTTATAGTCTGTGTTTTTCTTACCCCCATATTTAAATAGGGTAATATTTATTGCTGCACACTGAATATGTGATTTGAGACTGTCTGCTTTCCAAACTATCTTTCAAATGCTATTAAAGATTTTAAATTCCATTATAACTATTCCACTTAATTATTCTGGGTTCTGTTTTCAAAAGCATCTAATTGATTCTGCTGTAGGTGTTTAGAGAAATCTTCACAACTAATTTTCTTTGGCGCTTTCTGAGTCTTGGTGGACTTGAGATGAACTCAAGATACATGTTGCACAGACAGGTTTGCAGAGTCGCAGTAGGTGCCTGTCAGCATCTTCAGACACTGAAATAGCTTGGAAAATGTGACTTGGTGATTTTCAGTGGGGCATAGATTCATAGGCTGTGTGAGCGTCTCTGGAAATTTTCTCCCCTAATCTTCCTAAAGGTCAATTAGGTGAGATGAGGGTTTGGTATCTTATCTACTCTATGCTATATATTGTGCATTTTAAGCATGTACATATTATGTATGTGTAGAGATGTATATGTAAACATACATGCTACTTTAGGCCCACATACCCATTCAAGGGACAGTGGGAATATCTGTAATTACAGGGCTGATTTTCCTTGGAATGTTTTTTCTTCTGACACAAACTGTCAAAATCAGGTTGTTACATGGATAGAAGAACTTTGTATGAAACTGAGAGAAAAGAGTTTGTCCTGTGAAATACTCCCAGAACCGATCCTCAGCCTCTTCAGTAATCTTCCCCAAAATTAGACCACCCTGGTGAGACCTCCATGTGATCAGGTCATTGGTGTTCTGGAGAGCAAAGCTTAGGGCAGCCCATGAAAGTACCATCTTGTTTTGTGCTGAGAACAGAATGAACCGCCAGCAATTGAGTTCACAGCTAGTGAAGGAAAAATCACTGCTCACACATGGGCTATTCCCATCCTCTGGAGTGAACTAGGACTGGGGAGTGTGCGCAGGCACTGAAATCAATGATTTGTAGTGCTCATTCTCTGGCACTGGTTTGGTTCAGCTCCATAGGAACTCTCCAGAAATGTGTGGGGCTGGCAGGGGTTAGCACTGGCTGTCACCATTACCAGCAGGCTGTGGTTCTGCTCTGAAGGCTTAGGGCAGAGCACTAGGGACATAACTGTTCTCTGCCAGCTGGCTGCAGTGATGGGGAGTATCCTCAGGCATGTGTACTGCTCCATAGAGATGGGACCAGCAACTCTTTGGGCTTTTAAAGTGTGTATTTTTAAAGGGGAATCTCTGTGGAAGTTTGCTGTAAGAGTTTTCTTTAAGAACCCCTTTCCAACCTTAACCAGTGTCTTACTGTACTGTACAGTAGCCATCTCTCCAGTCCCTGGTCAGTCAGTAATAACAGCTTATGCATAGAGTCAGGTAAAACAACTAGTGAACTGCTTAACAGTTTGACAAGTCCCACTGATTTCAATTAGGTGGCTTAAAGTAAAGCATACACTCATTTAGCCCAGGATTACATGTTTTGCCTGTATTTAACAGGGTTTAGCACCCAGTCCCTTTCTCTGCATTTTGACATTGTGGGTATAAAAAAGATGTTTAAGAGTTTATTTCCTAGTCCAAAATAAGGAAATAAACAGGTCAGAAGGATACAAGTATAATTCTGTAAATAATACCAAAAGCTGCCAAGAAAACCAACATCAGAGAAGCAAATCTTTGCAATAAGTGGAATACTCTTTTTGTTATAATGGCCACAGCTAGACAGGAAGCACTGTTCTCCTCAGGGGCCAAGCACGCCATCACTGTTAATGAAAGATATTTACATATCTTATTAGGAGAATGAGCCCCTAATAACTGACAACAATAAGAAGCTGTGTTTTCTGGAATTCATTACACAGTGCACAATGCAGGGCTGTCTTAACATAAAGCAAAGCCCTGATAACAGGCACATGTATTCAGCCCCCGTCTCTACTAAAATACATCAGAAGGGCCTTTATTAGCACATGCAAATCAATTCCATGGGCAAAAATTCTTCATTTCCAGGGTCTGATTTTATAGCTACTGTACATGTGAGTAAACGAGGTTATGGGAATAATCATTTTAACTATTTCAATGAGTTTGATCCTTACCAGGCTAACTGATAATGCCAACACTATGTGACACTCTCACAGTCCCAGTACTTTTGCAGTACTGCAGAAGAAACAGGCAAATAAATCCCTCTGAGGAGGTGTTTAGGACAGAGTTTCAAATGTCCTTACTTAGCAAAGCACTTGAACTGGTGAGTTACCTATATCCCATTTGCTTAACAGCTTATGGTGCTTGGTAAATCCTTCAGGTTAGCAGACAGGGCAGTGAAGAGAGGTTGTTTAGTATTTCAGACACTAAGCAGAGGTTCTTCTATAGTCTTCAGCATGTCACATTCCTGCCGGATGGGGACAGCCAGTAATGAGCATCTCTCCCTGTGTTTCAAGCTGGCTGTAGCCTAAAAGTGGCACAGATGTCTGAGGCTACTGGCACACCTAGTGAATAAGCCACTGTCTATTGAGCTGGTACCACACTGGTAATGTGGTACCTTAACCATTACATGATCCCTGCATCAAAGCTGCTATCTTGGCATGGCTCGGATCTGCAGAGTGCTTGGGTCTGTCTGTATCAACTATGGAGAAGTGCTCCGTGTTCCTACACCAAAAATAGGCATCTTGCACCTGTGCAGGCATTCTGAGAATTATTTCAAGGCTGGAAAAGTTGCACCCAACACCTGAGAAGTTCAGGCACATAAATACTTTTAAATTTTATATCTTCATGAACTCATGGGCTATAACTAGTCCAGCTTTTACAGGCAGCAATGAAAGGCGCACACAGAAAAGGACCGAGTTCTCTTTTCATTTACATCAGCACTATTCTTCCTACACTGGTCAGATGCTCAGGAGGTCAAATAGCATGAGTCAGCCTTGTCCTGGGCTCTTTCATTCAGATCTTTGATATTCAGATATAAAGATGGCACTTTAGTGTGCCTTGAAATTTGCTTTCAGTTTCTTGTTCCAGGAGAACAAAGGAATAAACTTGTCTGAAAAGCCTTTTATCAGTATCCTAAAAATGCTTCAGCTGCTTCTGTTGAGTTATCTACATGTTGAGTTACTTGCAACAGTCCAGCTACCAACAGTAACAAAAGCAGCACTTTGTTTCTCAATCCAGCAGTCCTTTCATTACCTTGATTATTCTACACAGAATCCAACTTGTCCATCCTGCCCCGGAAAGACTTTTTTCCCCCAAGACTAACGTAAACAGACTAAGACTTTTCTCCCAGAGACCTCTATTTTGATGTTCCTCTCAATTAGAGTGACAAATCCTACCATTCCTCATTGCTTTGTGTATTCCGAATACCTTACAGTCATGAAGCCATAATCCTCATATAAAATTGATCTAATTACAGTTTTAAAGACTACCTTCCAAATAAATACACATGTGAGCAGATATGTTGTTCTTCGTTACTTGTCATGTATTTATTAACAAGTTCTGCTTGCTTGCCAGAATTTTCAATACCATCTGTCTTCTGATGCACATCTCCAACTAATTTATTAACAATACACATATAGCATACATGTGTATTATTAATGTACACACATTAATCACATACAATACACAAAGAAATCAGATTTGGCATCTGTCTACATCATACCTGTTTCAATGAATTTTTATGTAATAAAATCAACACAACCTTAAGTAAGATGGAGACAAGATACAAACCTGTGCTTAATGTTAAATGAATCCTTTAATACACCTCTGTAAATGTAAACTGGATTTTTTAATAGTTCAAATTTTATTATTGGAGTTGTGAGAGGATTAAGTTCATATTGTTTGCCACAATGAGCCTTGTTTTTATTGTGAAATCACATAATCATGGTAATACTGGTCGGAGGGCACTTCTTAAATCCATTTAGTTGGTCTTCGTGCATGGGGTCAGCATTAGATCAACACTCGGAGCAGGACTATCACTTGCACACAAACAAATCGGCTGTAGCATTGACTGCTTGAAAGCCAAGGACAGAGATTTCATGTCACCAGCACAGCAGTCTCGTTGCTCTAAAAATACTTCAACGTGCGTGCAAACCTCTTTTCACAGTGACATGCACTTTATTGTGGTGGAATGCAGAAGTCAAAGCTTTTGCTTTTTTCCTTCTTTTTTCCTGCCTGTTCCTGAGGGACTGTATATAGTGATAAAACCCCCGCCTGATTTGGTTTCACCTCCTCAGGCCCACAGAGTAAGAAACCCTAAAATCATCTTCTGCCCCTGTCCAGGGGCACACTGAGCACAGCTGGAGCAGAGGTGACACAAGACAAGCGGGTCATGCCTAGTGCCAAGGCAAAGATCGTATCTACTTAATCACCAGTTAAGAATAGTTCCTTCTAGTCAAGACCATAAGTGAAAACGGGGAATGGAGTTTGGCTCAGACTCTTACAAAGATACCCTGATAGTACAGAGAAGGTCATTAAACACTTTGATTGATGGAAATGTTTTTGCGGTTGAGTTTACAGAGGACTGGAATTTCCTACCTTCCTCCTCCACAGCTACAAATTAGCTTTCCCCTAACCTCCTGTTGCAGCCAGCATTGCAAAGGAAGGGACACACAGGCAATGGGGATGAGGTACAGGGAGATGGAGGGGTGAACACAAACACCCAGTGATGCTGGGCAAGGAAAGCCTAGCTGCAGTGTAGAGAGCCCTTGGTAGTGACTGATGACAAGGGGCCACATGGCACCTAATTGCTTGGTTTTCCCCTCACCAGCACAAAAGAAACAAGTTCTTAATACAATTATTGGACCAAGGGGGCTACATGAAACATAGCATGCTGCCTTTCTGCCTGCCAGAAAATACTGCCTGCACTCTCTTCCCATGCTCTTTGAGATAAAGCTCTGCCTACCTCTCTCTAGCATTTGGCTTCCTTCCCTTCCCTCTGATTCCAGCACTAGTGGCTACTTTTCTTGCCAGGGCCCTTTGGTTCATAAGTGTGGTTCAGCAAAACCTTTAAGCATCCACCGAAGGACCTTCAGCCTAAATGCTTGGTGCAGCACATTTGATGAATGGGCTTCACAAATAGCAACAGCAAAGTGTTAGCCAGAAAGCAGCAAATTCCTCAGACTGCACAGCTCATATCTTACAAGATCTTAGACATTCACAAAGCCTGAGGGTGTAGAGCCACAGTCTGAAAGTGTTCTCACGGCTCAGACCTGTCACCTGCAGCAGCTGCTGACAGCTCTGACCTCTCACCATGGCCTCCACATCCCTGGTAGATGCCAGGCAGCTTATTTCCTGAGCAAGCACAGTGAGATGCCTTCTTGAGTCGGAGGTTAGGGCTGTCAGTTGTCCCATAGTCAATTGTCCGAGTATCTAAGGCCAACAGGGGCCATTAAGATCATCTAGTTTATGCAGTAGACACAAGCTAAAGGATTAATCAGTGAAAGAGCTGCTGGAGCTGTGTGGCAAGAAAAGGTGAAATAGCAAAGACGAAGACAGCAATGCATTGGGCTTGTGATGAAGCTGGCTCTGTTCAGAGCTGTTAGCTCACCTTCCCAGAATTTCCACATTGCAAATAATAGATCAAAAGAAATAAGCCAGGATGGACTGATCTGCAGCACACTGTACTCCTTGTAGGACAGCAGCATGCCTTGCTTATCTTTACACACACATTACACGGTAAGACCACTGATGCTTTTTCTGACTGACCAACTAAAACATCTGTGTAATCGTACTCCAGTCAGACTGAAAACAACAAATGGAGATCTGTCAGCATGTTTTGTCTCTCCCCTTTAGGAACAAGTCTCTTTTGGAGACTGTTTTTAAGAGGCTTTTCCTCTCCACTCCCTTCCAAATGGCCCAGTTGCTTTTGTTGGATTAAAGGGCAGTCAAGCCTCCCAAAAGCAGGGATATGTTTAGTTTCCAGACCAGTTTCTGGGCAATGCCTTGTTTGTGAGTGGTATTTCCAGTTGTTTGTGCTGCTACAGGGCTGTAATTGCTTTCTATCCACAAAGTCCCATCTGCTGAGGATATACTGGGCAACGCACTGGCTGCGAGATGTACCCTGATGTTGCACTGCAATATGAGATTATGAGGATATGAGGAGCTTCCATTGCTGAATTATGTGATTAAAAGGAGCACAGTAGGTGATGGGAGCTGCAGGATGACTGCATAATGCTCCTTGAGAAGGCTGGACCCTATCTTTCAGCAGAGCCTGGAAAGATATCAACAATCTTAAGTGAAAGAACAGAGTGTGTGACTGGCACAGCACCGCTTCCTAAAGCCTCAGAGGAGGATTGTGTGCGGTTAAGCCCTGGGACTTCAAAGGAATAAGATGAAGGATGGTTCAATGCTAGCAAAATTGAAGGCTGTTAGAGAAAATAAATGGGTTTGAGTCTCATAAAAAGGGTAGAAATCCCAGGGGCAGAACAAATGATAGAGGAGGTTGCGGAGAAGGGACGGAGGAAGCGAAGTCTGGAAGGAAGACGTGAATAGACAAGAATAAAAGAAAATAGATGGTGAAAATGGGGTGCAGTAAGGCCTTTTAAGGCTTGGCAATACTCTTGACAGTTAACTGGTATTTACAATTAGGTGTACTCTACAGCTGTGAGTTTATTCATATAAAAAGATCCCAGTACACCCCATAGACCTACATAGGAAGATATTGCCTACAGGAGACAGTCCTGGCAGTAAATCCAGAGGCACTGGTTAAACTATAAGCAAATAAAAATACAAAAACCAAATACACCAGCAAAGTCCAGCAAGAGCAATGTGAGACCACACTGCAACAATTTCCCTCTCTTTCCTCAAGACCAATTATACAAAGGCAAAATACCCAGCTAGTTGTGCAAGAATGAGGTTTGAGCAGCCTTGGGGCCTCTCTGTTGTGGGGCTGTTGACAGTATACTATGGCAAATGTGACCCCAACTCCAGTGGCATCAGCTTCTTCCCTGTTTTAGGCTAAATTTAATGATGAAAGGTAGCAGTGGAGCAGCAGTGGGGGTCAGTACAGTGGGGGGGACAGCTGCTGCCAGTGGGACAGAGCTGCAGGGTGGCGGTGACATAGGGAGGAAGGGGCAAGAGGGAGCTGGAGGGTGAAGGACACAAAGGGTTGGGTTGTGCTTCTGAGGGAGGGCGAGAAGGTTGCCAAAGTCTTGCTGTGTCTCTGAGTGATAGCCTGTGACAGGTACAACTCAGTCATTAAAGTTCATGCTCTCTCCCGCAAAACCAGAAGCTTTTGCAGTGTTTTGGAGGTTCTTAAATTGCACCGATTTCCATCATGCTGTCACAAAGCTGAGCTGGGAGACAGAGAGTGTTTAATCCCTACTGAAAACAAATCAAAACAGGAAACCAGTTTGCCTCCGAAGAGCGAACGTATTTGTAGTGAACCCTTCAGAAGCGTGCACCAGCCACCAAGCCTTAGCTCAGCTCCCGCCTGCCATGTGCAGCATCTACCTCACCTTTCTCTTGCAAAAGTGAGTGTCATACACCAAGGAGCTATGGGGTGAAGACTTGGTAGGAAATAGGTTACACTGAGGTAGCTGGGAAACTTGGATGTCTGTTCTTTCCTTACCCTTTCCTAGCTGTTACCTGGGTATCTCGTATACGACGAATAATAATTCAACAGAGGCTGCCAGAAAAATCATGTTGTTGGCAAATTTTTGAGGATATTATTTACTTCAAAATTTCCTGTTATTTTTTCTTAGCTAGAACCCCTGACAGAACAAAACCAGAGAAGTGTTTTGAGTCTTGGAAAACAGATGCAGTAAAAATGCTACATTTTAGCTAAAATGCTGGTTTGAAATTCTCAGTAACCAAATATTTTTTTAAATAAAATATTTATTATTTTGTAGCTTTTCAGGATGAAACAGGAATGTTGGTGAACTAAACATTTCATTGAAGTAGTTCCTTTTGGTTAAAAGAGTATTTCATTTTGTTGGAAGAAAAAAAAACCCTTGAATTTCAACCAAAGGTTTTGACTGGTTCACTAAGTATTCATGTGCTGAGTTGAAATATACGTATGTGCATATATGTGTGTGTATGTGCAGTCCATGTGGAGGTGTCATATATAAGAATGATTCTTCATACTTTTAAAAGCCTTACATGATCAGTTAATTTGCTTCTGCTCCATTAAGATTAAATCTCCCATGCACAGGACAGTCTTGCCTAATCATTCACTTTATCCACAATCATTATCATTAACCAAGTGCTTTTCTCTGTCTTCTAGAAAAAAAGGACTTTGAAGGGTTCTGTGGAGCTTTCCAGGATTAAATGTGTGGAAATTGTGAAAAGTGACATCATCATTCCCTGTCAGTATAAATACCCTTTCCAGGTGAGTCTGTCTGGTGGCTGCACTGATAGAGATATCACCTCATTCAGTATTTCAGTTAATTCTCCCTCACAGTGCAGTTGTTAATGAACCCAATGCCAAGGTGAATAACAACAAAGGAAGAAAAAGCAGATCAAGGTTTAAAATGATCTGGGGAATCACAGACTGTGTTTTTACAGGGTCCATAAACTCTTACACTCATTGGTTTTAAACTGAAAAGGATCATTAGATCTTCAAATCTCATCCCATGTTTAACACAGTATTCAGCTATCCCATTAACTCATGTTCGGAGATAGCCCATTTTTCACACGGGGAATCCACCCAGGGTTTTGGCTGATTTACCTGTGTGGTGCTGAAACTGAATACACTCCATGGCCTTTGCATCAGAAACTGGTGAATGTGATGTTTTAGGGAGCTGCTCCAAACAAGCACAAAGAGACCAGTACTGATAGGCTGGTAACAGTGGACCAGTCATGATGGACAGTGCTCCACTGAGGTTGCAGTAATTGCTCCTATTTGTAGCACATCTAAATTTTGTCCCACAGTCACTTTTGCGGTATTTTGTAAAATTATATTGTCGGGGTTTTTTGGGGGTTTTTTTAAAATATCTCAGCTGCACCCATCTGTACATCTTCTGCGGAACCACCAGTGGCTTTTTGGTTTTGTTTGGCTCATCTGGCAAGTGATTGCCTTGCAGAAAGGCATGAAATGAGTGATTTTGTGCAGTTGTGCATGCTCATGGCTATGTCTTTTGGAGATCTGTTTCCTGCATATTTCAAAATCTGCCTTACATTGTCAAAACATACAGACATCATAATATCAACAGGAGTGCCTTCAAATGAGTGGAAATTATTCCTCTCCTATTTCTGTTTTTTGTAAAACAGGTTGTAATTTATTTCTACGTAGCATAAAAACTGACTCACACGGCTGTCTCTGTGTGCCTGCAAGGGCATCAGGCCAACAGATAGCAAATGCTTCCTGTTCTTTAAACAGTAAACAACTTTGCCTCCTCTACATCCCAGGAGAAACTTTAAAAGATGGCTGATCTCTTCCAGAAACCTCTGTTTAAAGACAGTGGTCAGAGCATCAAAGAGACGAGGTCCCATTTGGAATTAAACTGTTGAGATAAATATTGGAAGAGAAATATAGATGATGCATTACATCAAATTTTAGTCATCCAATTCAGTTTCTGAGTCATTTCAGTTCTTTTGATGATTTTACTACTTGGCCTGAAATTTCAGAAACATTCTGTATTTCTCTTCCTTCGTTGTATTAAGGCCAAGTTGATGAAAATAGCGTCTTGACTGCTCATTGTTCATCTGCTGCAGCTTCTTATTTCCCCTTTATAATCCTACTGAAAGCTATTAAAAACTTTGAAGAATAATAGTAATCCAAGTAATCTCCAGGGAGTTACATGAGATCTATATTTAAACAAAAAAAGGCTAAATTTGGCTTTTAGATCTTAAGTGAAGGTATCTTCACAAGAAACTGCTAAGAGACAGATGCAGTTTCCCCAGAGATGCTTTAGAAGGATAAACTGCAGTCAGCGAGTAACGTGCTATAAACCCTCTGCAGGTTGAAATTGCTATACCTCCACTGATTTCACAGGCATTTCTTAACAGCATAAAAATGACCTAAACCACTGCTTGTCTAGAATTCTTTCTTGATCAGGATTTCTACTCCATATGAGATAACCAAAAGTCAGTGAGGTTAAGAGATGCTTCTGAACAGTCCCTGTTACTCCACTTTCCCATGTCATCATTTGGTGTTTAACTTGTTGGTATGAGGGCTGTTCCCTGCTGCTCCATCGTGCCCAGCATATCTGGGATTGCTTCTAATGGATATTGCTCCCTTCTTTACTCCCCTCTCCAGGTCTTCCATGATAACTACATACTCTACGTGTTTGCACCTAATCGTGAGAGCCGGCAGAGATGGGTCTTTACACTGAAGGAAGGTAATAAAACCCCTGTGCTCATCTAATGTTGAAGTTACTTATCCCAGACCAGTTTTTTCACAAACTGTAGTGCAGAGAAAATATGCAAGAAGGGTCAATGTCTTAGATTCAAGCGATAACGGGGAATGAGGTTATAACATCAATTTGCTCGTGTTTTGCAGCAGCAGGAGAAAATGTGGCTATGGAATGCTTTATTTGCCTCTTTCTAGGATAAACTGTTAGTATGTTACTGTAATTTGAGGTTTCTTACTCAGGAAGAGATGAGGGGTTTTCTATGGCTATTTTTTAAAGAAATTAATCTTTTCTGCATAGAAGATTTTTCAGCTCTTACTAATAGATCTTTTGTTTAGATGACAACCTTCTTAGAGAATCATGATTATTAAGAAACATTTTTGCACGTAGTTTTCATTTCCTGTTCACCTCCTGAATTGTGCTGTGTTCTGCTGAACTGATGCTGAACTCAAGGCACCATAACTAACCACCACAGGCAGAAACGAAGCCTAATATTTGACATAAGGGAAGTGTTACTTGGTTACATGAAAACTGCACCAAGCTTCTGACATAGCTTTTTCCTGCTTTATAACACAAGCTGCTGTATTGTTCACTCTGAAAACATTGCATCTCATGGAGATATTATTAAGTTCACGCACTTACTCTTTCAACTGGTTATTCCCCTTCTGGACAGCACTTGCTCCAAGCTTCTGCCTTATCACCTCTTCTTACTCAACATTTTGAGACTGTCCCATCCCTTGGACAATTTAAATAGTCTCTTGAAACAAGTCAGCAGAAATGTTATGTCCTTATTAGGAAATTTATTAGTACAGATGGAGAGCCTGAGCCTCAAACGGAGGGACCTTAAATCACTCATGCAGACATTCGAGACTGTTATTTACACGTGCAAAAAATGGTTAATGGTGGTGAATGCCAGTTTGTACAGCTCCTTGACCTCCTGACATCAGGCCAAAGTAGAAGTGTCTGTGCCCTACATCTATAGATACTGTAGAGATGTAGTCTCTCATGGGAATCATCAGTATATGGACTTCCAGGTTTTATTTCCTTTTATGAGACCTTCCTTCTGTGGTTTTGGTGTTTATCAGTTTAAAGAGAGTGCCGCTTTGGTAGGATTCTGATCTACCGCAGTAGAGAGGTATAGGCTCCATCAGCAGCAGGAAGGATATTTCTCCACATCAATGGTGGCATTCACTCCTTTTGGGAAAAAGAAAAACATTAATGGAGGAGGCTGATATATAGTAATAACTTAAAGCTTGGTTTGACAAGAAGAAGCTTCTTTTGAGTGCAGATTATTTCCATTCAATTCTAGATGTCTTTCAGAGCTGATGCGAATGCAAATAAATTAATTTTCCCCCTCTTTTTTCTTCTCCTTTTTTCATCCCCCAACATTTTCCAGAAATCATAAACAACAACAGTTTGGTTTCAAAGTGTCATCCAGATTTCTGGATAGATGGCAAGTGGCGATGCTGCGCTCAGACAGAGAAGATGGCAGTTGGCTGTGTGGAGTATGATCCTACCAAAAATGGTATGGGACTTGCTAAGACCATCCCAGCTTTGAAAATATTTATTCCTAGCAAAAGTAAAGAATTGAATCTGTCTTGTACAGAACATCAAAGAATATCATGTTACATTTCCATCAAGAGGCATGTTGCTGGCTTCTTGGGATATTATGGTTTATCTTTAACTGTATATGGCATTCTTTGCTTTGAATTAATCTTTTCCTCTGTATGGTGCTTGGGGCTGTCTTTGGAGTCAGATGGAGAACTAAGAATTTAATCAGCTGTGCTCAATCAATAAGCCATAACAAGAACTTCCTTGAGATATACTCATTCAAGCCTGTGTGTCCTATTTTGTCCTAACCACATTTCCTCTGTGGTTTCAATGGCCAAGCGTAATCTTTACGTTGTCTCCTGAGAAACCATATAAGCAGTCAATCATTCTCAACCCAAGACACTGTAACCTTGTATCTGGGGGATTCCTTAAGTAACCTGTACCCCAGTTTCAAGCCCATCCTGTGTGGCTGAGTCACTGTATAGGAGCACACTGTTGGCATGACTTGCTCCAAAAGGCCAAGACTTGCTATCTACTGGGTTTGTATCACCTTTATCAGTTCATTACCTTGACATTTTCTCCCCTGGTTTTGTTCAGATCTACTTCAAATTACCCTTCTTGATTTCCTTTCAGCCTCAAAGAAGCCTCTTCCTCCCACTCCTGAAGATAACTGGGTGAGTGCAGTGAGGCACATGAAGCTGTCCTTGGTGTCCTGTCCTGTGTGTTTAACTAGAAGTGGTGAATATACCCTCATAAAGGTCCACTGCAGTGCAGTGACCTGAAGTATCATCTGTGATAACATTCCCTGGGCTTTTCTCTTGCCTTTTCCATATATTTTCATAACCTAGAAATCATCAGCATCCCACTAGAGTTAGGTTCATTCCTACAAAGACAGCCTAGTTTCACAAATAACTTTCCAATGGTAACTGAAGCTTCAATTTTTTTGTTCTTCAATCTATAGACAGGGAAGCTGGGGAAGTAGGAGGGATATGAGAAAAGCTGCTGTGATGGGAAACGGAGAAGTGATTTTCCAAATGCACTTGTGGATGGGACAAAATGTCATCAGCTTATTTAATAAGAAAGAGAAAAGGCAGAAGCAGGGCATGAGAAAAGGGCTGGAGGGCAGCAGAGCATGCGACAGTCCTCCTCTAGAGAGGCCATGGAGATTTTATCACTGGAGGTTTCTAAGAGGAATCTCTGAATAATAGGTCAGACAGAGGTAAACCTGCCCTAAGAAGGCATAAATACCTATTTTCTGTGCAACTGAAACTTTTGTATGAAATGAATTGTTTGAATGTGCTAAAAATTCTCACGGTGCCACCATACCCCACTAGACACCCTGGGGTGCTTTCCCAGCTCTGAACCCAGAGAACACCAGTGCCTCCAGGGATATATCATTTTAAAGAATATGCCATTGGGTTTTATGACTATGAATATGATGAGCCTTTTGCCTAATTTGTGCAGAAATTGTTGCTGGACCCAAAGGAAGCCTTAGTCATGGCCATATATGACTATGAAGCCCAGAATCCGCAGGAGCTGACATTACAATGTGATGAGGAATATTATGTGATTGACAGTTCTGAGGAACATTGGTGGCTGATTCAAGATAAGAATGGGTAAGTCCCTTTTCAACAGCCAGTTTACAAACCCTTTCTAAATCCCGTTTGTTCTTCCATTAACATATATGCTGCCCTCTTGTATAACTTGTGAAAGTTACCCTCTGATATACAGGCAAAAAGCAACGGAAGGTTATTTACTTTCTTCCCTTTGATGTTGCTTGTATTCAGGCAGCTGAAGAAAAGGATCTGAATGTTACCTAAAATAAAAGTCCTTAGCTCAGGCTGATATTTGCTGTCGTATACGTGGGGGGAAAAACAGTGAAAAATGTGAAACTCTGCAAGTTTAGGGGTGCAATCAGTTGTTTCCTTCTCCAGTAACCCTACTAAATACATAGCAATCAGCACTTCTGTCATGCAAAGAGCAGGCAAATCTTTCAGGGCTGACTCCTACAGATGCAGAGAAAATCCTGTCTGTCTGGCACACTCACACCATGTCGCATTTCAACAGGCATGAAGGCTACGTGCCAAGTAGCTACCTGGTGGAAAAATCACCCGAGAATCTGCAAATATATGAGTAAGTCGTGCCTGTGTTTGTCTTGTGTCTCCAAGTGCCCTGGATTTGTTCTACAAGCCTCAAACATCCCTACCCCACATAATGTGTCGCCGCTCATGCTGGGGACACTGAATTCAGATGCTTTTCAGCAGAAATTTTACTAGCCTGGAAACGCTAACTAGGAGTCTTTTGATGTTTTCAGATGGTACAATAAGAACATCAGCAGAAGCAAAGCAGAAACACTTCTCAAGGATGAGGTAAACCAGTGTTACACGCGGGGTGGATGGGCAATAATAATTAATTAATGACAAATGAGGAGAAGCCTGTGAGGGTTGCTTTGTGTAAGAGAGAGCTGGACCCTGGGTTCCTGCTGTGTTGTTGTCCTTGGCTGTTCTTAGTGTGTGATGCAAGATAAAGGATCACTTGCAGCCTCCCCCTTACCTCCATGGTAGCTGAGTGTGGGCAGAGAGCCATGCCATCCTTCTTTGGTTAAACACACCCAATAACCGAGGCTGGTGGAAAACACTCTTTTGGAACACTGCATCGACTGAAAACTGATTTTAGCTCATCTTTTCTGCCTCTGCAGGAGGCCTGTGGATGCCAGTAGTTCTCTGAAAATCTAACCAACCTCATGCTGAAATGTTTAGGGTGAAAGCCAAGGTTTTTTTAGTTCTCTCTGTGTGTGTGCATGTAAGCATCTTTCATTTTTCAGCTGAGACTGTTTTCCAGTGAAGACTGTAGTGAAAATAGAAAGAATAAACTTCTTGTTCAAATTTTCCACACAAACATACCGCTAGTTTCAAAATCACCTCTACTGTGATTAGTTAGTAGTGTTAGTGATCTACTAACAGGAGACACAAATAAAGTCTTGTTTCTTGCAATGATAGTATTTTATGCAAATAAAAGCATTTTTATCTGGTTTTACATATTATTTTAGTTCTTGTAACTCCTACAGGATGTGTCCACGCATGGTTTAGTGATCTTATTTTTCCTTTTGGTCCTACCAGCACAACTTCTCCATGGCAGCCCCCTTCACCTGGCTGCAGTGGCTTCTGGTTCAAAACCTTGCAGCCCCCACAGCTTCCCCCCAAAACTGGCCAAATTCACGAGTGATCTTTGGCCAGTCTTGCTGTTAAGTGAGACAGAAGGGCAAGAAGAGAGTTTCAAGAATCTCAGGCAGGATGCTGTCTTCAATACTTGCCTATCTGTGCAAGCAACCCCACACTGCCAGGGAGATGAGTCCTAAAGCTTGCACTGTGCATGATAAAGATGCTTTTTAGAGCTTCCCTGGGCTAGATATTCTATAGTGCAGGTATGGTAGATATTGCATTGAAGAGATAACCCTGGAAAGTGTATAGCTCATTGGGCTGATCCCACGTGGTCAGAGCTGCACGCTGGGAGTCAGCAGTTCATATGCAGGGGATGCAGTAGCAGTCTTAGCCTCTGTGTTCTCATGGAGCTGAATCAGGTGGGAAGGAGGACAGGGCAGGGTGCACTTGGTGGATTAGGTTTGCGTCAAGCATTGTGGGTGGGTAGAGAACATATAAAACAGAGGAAATCTACCATGTGAAGCAAAGAAGGGGACGAAACAATCAAGCACTTGGGATGCCAGATGAAAAGCATCTTTATCTGCAAACAGAAGAAAAATGTGTTTTTTGTTATGAATGTGTAGATCAGCACAGCATATTGCATCCAAACTGTTACGCTAAATCTTCTCCTCTGCCATCTGATCCATTAGTGCCCGGCCCTGCAGGATCATGGCCTAGGATACATTTTAGCATTCAGATGAGTAGAAAACAATTAGAAAGGAAAATTGTCCTGTGAGTGCCAGGGTGGAGGAAGCCTCCTTTCGTACACATTGCTGTTTAGATACAGGATGACTGGAGTACCTGTGAAAGGCAGGATCTTCTCCAAGCTTTTCCAATTTGTGATACATTGGCAAATTATCTTTCATACATTCCCATATGGATTTTCTGGTGTTTCATAAATTGTATGCTCATTCTGTAGCTGCTCTCTCAATGGAGAGCACTAAAGGGGCTGGCCTTTCCACTTGGCTGCACATTTCATTGAACTTGTGTGACATTACTGTCACCAGTGTTCTGTCAGATGGAAAGGAGCCAATGGGTCCAACATTTCTAGAGGAGAGGCTTGGAGGGACAGAGGCACACACTCGTGTACCTATACCCACATATACACAGCACAAGTGCTCACGTCTCATTTCCTCAGGAAACTGAGCTAAAAATACATAGCACCCAAAAGAGATCAGCTTGGGTGTACCTGCAGGCTCTGGGCAGCCATCAGAGCTGCGCATGGGACAGACCAAGCTCTGTCAGCTGGCTGATGGCTCCTTTTTTCGCTACATGTTTAGCACATCCTCGTGACTGAGCAATAAGGAGGGTTGAAACGAGCAGAGCTTTGTCCCCAGACCGCTTCTCTTTTGTTCCCATTATGTCTCTAACCAATTTTTTCTCCTTTGCTCCTGTTGCAGGGAAGGGAAGGTGCCTTCATGGTCAGAGATTCCAGGCAGCCTGGCATGTACACAGTCTCTGTTTTCACCAAAGCGTTAAGGTACAGCTGAGCTCAGCAGCTTTTCGCATCAATTACATCAATGAAATGGCTTCTATGACAGTGTAATCTCTGTTTTGGCATTATAAAGAGAGAGCAGAAGGCTCACGAAAATTATAGAGGAAAATGCTTCCAAAAAAGGCAGAAAAGTTAGCTGCCATTCACAAAGGGTATTAAAGGCTCCACTTCTCCCTGCATCTAACTATATGCCTATAAATAGTGTCTTAGACATCACTGGGGCTGTAATTTTAGTGGAATTTTCTCCCCAGATTAAGTGTTGGTAGATCAACATGGGACTCATCTAGACTCATCAGAGGTTCCTAATACAAGACTAGTGAAAGGGTTTCAGTGATGGGGCAGGAAGTTTTGCTTCAGAAAGAAGAGGTAGAGAAACTTTGTACTCAACCTGCCTTATCAGGAAACCTCAGCCTTTCTAGAGATGAGACCATCTATGAGTGAGAGGGAGAACATGCAAGCACAGAGCTTTCATTAGCAATTGCAACTCACTCCTTGCTCCTCTCCCATTCGTTCTGCATAGGGAAGGTTCTACCCTTTGCTCATTTGCTCCTCTTCCATTTATACCCCAGATTCCTGTCTTTTTGCTGCAGCCTAGTTTTCCTCAAAGAAAACCTTCTCTTTTTCAGCACGGATAACAATCCCGTTATAAAGCATTATCACATCAATGAGACAACTGACGTTCCCAAGCGATATTACTTGGCAGAAAAGCATGTGTTTGACTGCATCCCTGAACTCATCAACTATCACCAGCACAATGCGGGAGGTGAGTGAAGGCTGATGCTGAGCAGGGAAGCTGCTGTTTTACCATGCAGCCAGGTGACTGTTTTGAGTGAAGGAAGACTCCCAAGCCCCCTGTCCTTACAATGAAATATTAAATGGCATCACCTTTTCTTCCACTTATCCTGGCACTCAGATGGTGGGAGAATGACCATCTAAGGCCAGCTTCCAGCATTACATCTTCATTCTGGTAATATCCTTCTAAGGCTGACTATGACCAACACAAATGTTGTAATGACATACTATAGAGAGCCCTTTCATTCCTGGGAGCCACTGGGGATGCATCACCACTGTCAGAGCAAGCTACCTGGTTGTGTTACACTTGCAGGCCCTTCTTGCCCAGGAGGTGATGTATCCCTGGGCCTTGATTTAAAACAAAATTAGGGGCATGGCCATGATCCATAGCCAGACATGGGAGTTACCAAAGACTCCCATCCCTACAGCCCAGGAGTACCAAGGGGAAATTCTGGGCTCCAAAAATACCCTACAAATAAAAGGTGTAATTTTGAATTTCGTCAGAGTTAATAGAGACTCACAGCTCACATTTGCTGACAGAGTGAAAATGGGAAATTAGCTGAAACTGCTCAGAATTGGCTTCCTTCTAGCAGGCAGGAAATCATAGTCTGAATAGAGGTTTAGCTGCCCTCAAGTGGAGCTGAGAACTCAGTACAATAAATCTGCTTCCAGTATCCGGGCTGCCTCCCGGGGTAGTGACAGCCACGCTTCCCATGACTGTGACAATAACTGGAACCCACCTTTTCCTCTGTTACCCAGGTCTTGTCACTCGTTTGCGGTATGCAGTCTCTTCTTGGAGGAAAAAGGCCCCAATCACTGCAGGGCTGAGCTATGGTATGGTACTCTCACGACTATATGGGAATCACACTCTTCACTGGTTAGCTGGGTGGTCCTGAATATCCCCATGGATATTGATGAATATTCATGTGACTACCACCACAATAAATAGCTTTCCTCAGACCTTTACACTGCACTATTCACTAGATTATCACCTTTGTTATTACCCTTGATAACTGAAAGAACTGATCATGCAGTGCCTTGAGGGAGGTGATGAGAACCCCAGAGTCTCAATGAAATCAACATTAAATACTAAATGAATGCTGAATGGAGGTGATGGGAGTAGGAGCACAGCATAACTCGATGGAAGCTGAGTCCCTCCTGAAAGATGCCTCCATTTGCACATTGCTGTCTCCAAGAATTTTGCTGGTATCCTCTTTATTGTAACTTTGAGACATAAAAGAAATTCAAAACCATGTTATGCTCAGTAGTGCACATACGCATGGTAGAAACAATCCTCCCTGAAGAACTGGATAGACAAGACAAATGGGAGAAAAAGGGGAATGTTTTTCTTCCTACTCTTAAACATGACCTGCAGCACAAACTAGTCAAATGAGTTACCAAAGGTCAGGCAGACAGTTTGAAGAAGAGCCAGAAAGTCTCACTTCAAGTCCTGTCTCAATGTTTAACTCATAAAAGCTTTGTTTAACATTTTACTGGTAGATCCTTACTCTTTGTTCCTTACAATCAACAGGAAAATTCATCATTAACCCCTCTGAGCTCACCTGTGTACAGGAAATTGGCAGTGGTCAGTTTGGTGTGGTTTACCTTGGCTACTTGATGGAGAGGACGAAAGTAGCCATCAAGACCATTCGTGAAGGAGCAATGTCCGAAGAGGATTTCATTGAGGAAGCTAAAGTCTTGATGTAAGTAGTAGATTCACCAAGAAAATCAGACCCTGAAGGATTCATAAAACTGAAACAAAGTGTTGTGATGTTAGGAATATGAATGGGGAAATTAAACTTGGATTATCTAGTATGTATCTAAATAATATAGAAAGAGACTAGTGAGCTCTGGTGATTGCAAAGAAAGGCAATTCAAAGTGTAGGTGAATTAGTGTCCTTCTAAATCTACCATTGTTCAGAATGGTCTTCCAGATCTCTGCTGTTCTAGAGGGCAAGAATAATTGATGATGTGTTTTGGAGAGCAAAGTGGTTTTTGTCAAAAATAGTTAGATGGAGAAATCTCTTAAAATTTGGGGGAAATTTTACTGAAAAACTCAGCTGCAAATTTGATATTTTGCTTTGCACAACTGAAAGTGTTTCTCTTTGAATTTATTGACTTTGTTCCCTCCCTTCAAAAACAGATGGAAATTGATTTTGGTTTTGTTTGACTGGATGATTTTCCATGCAGAAAAGTCTTTTGTCGACCATTACCATTAAAAGGGGATGATACTTAGTGCTATTTGACATTAGACTTTGTCTACACATTTTCTTCATTCTGCTTAGTAGCTGGCCTTTGCAGAGAGAGGGTTGCAGCAGGGTGATATAGGAGGCTGAATATAACGCACTTGCTGTAAGGATAGAAGGCACTGAGCCTGTTTCAGCTTCTTTTCCACCTTCCTTCCCTATCCCACAGGAAACTGTCTCACCCCAAGCTAGTCCAGCTTTATGGCGTGTGCTTTGAGAACACCCCCATATGCCTGGTGTTTGAGTTCATGGAGAATGGCTGCTTGTCCGACTACCTCAGGAGCCAGCGGGGCAGTTTTTCAAAGGAAACCCTCCTGGGGATGTGCCAAGATGTGTGTGAGGGAATGGCTTATCTGGAGCAAAACTCTGTCATCCACAGAGACCTCGTATGTTGGTCCCACATAGACTTTTTCTCTGCTTCAGCTGAATGTTTCCCTGTGCTTTCTCCCTTCCTTAATATCAGCTTTCACACTCCTGCTGCCTATCGGTTGATAGGAGATGCAGCATCTCCCCTTATTGCTGAAGCAGCACCAATACTCTAGGTAAAAAACCCATCCCCTGGAGCGCTGATTATCCATTTCCCTTAACTCCGTTTGGGAGAGAAGAAACAAGCAAAGATGCCAAAAAGGCCTGTTCGAACATATATATAAACATGCATTGCTGATAAAATGCTTTTAATTACATGGTATTCAATCAAGCTGCATCAGCCACTGCTACTGTTTTGTTAAGGGAGCAAGGACTGAGTAGCTGTGGATATTTTAGGGTCCTTCTCTGCTCTTTCTGGGCAACAAAGGCCAGCAAGTCAGACTGATGTTTTTCTGGCAACGGGAACATGCTGGCCATAAAATGTACTCAAAGCCTAAGAACCTCAAGTTTTTGCTCTCTTTGGTGCGATATCACTTTGAGTCTCCTTTCTTTAAGCACTATCTGCCCTGCCAGGATGAAAGCATCAGTGGTTGTGAGTCTTTCAGCTCTGACCTTCTGCCTTTGCACCTTTTCCTGCAGGCCGCTAGGAACTGCCTGGTGGGAGAATCCCATGTGGTCAAAGTATCTGACTTTGGGATGTCGAGGTAATGATGCCAAGGCTGCACATGTTCCCTGCAGGGCTGTCATGGGATGAGGGGGGTTACTCAGCATGCTCCCTTCGTTTCCTTTTCCAGGGTTGTCCTTGATGATCAATATACCAGCTCCACGGGTACCAAGTTCCCAGTCAAGTGGTCTGCTCCAGAGGTTTTCTCCTACAGCAACTATAGCACCAAATCTGATGTTTGGTCATTTGGTAAGAACCTCTTGTCAGAATGGAAAAAAAATCAGCAAATGCCAGCTCAGAAAACCATGGGGCTCAGTCCTCAAGCAAACTCTCCTAAACACTACATCATCCGGGCTCCCAGGGTGTTTTGCCTGAATAATGGCTTAGGAAAGCACACCTAAATCATTTAAGTGAAAGAAAGAATCATAAACTTCATACGTAATTTGGAACACTGCAAATACTGCCAAGTTAATGTATTGTATTTGTGCAATGCTATGTAATACCAAATAATGAACTCTATTTCATGCTGATAATAGCATAAGTGTCCAAGAACAGGTTGGAGAGTCACTGACAAGATTATATAAGGAAAGGAAAGTGATTTAAGCATTCGATCTCTCTGCGTGTCAGTCCTGGGCACTCATACTTCACTCAAACCCTCTCCCTTTCCAAGTTTGCTCTGCTGACTCCATTTGCTTTACGCCGATCTGACAATATTATTTCACTGTTCACATTTTCTCACCTCATTTCCTGCTCCCCAATGCATTGTTTTATGATTTGCATCTGTTCTTTGGTCTCCCTTCTGGACCCTCAGAGATAAGAAAACCGTTGCATATTTTTTTTTCCCCAAAGCCATTGGCACTGGAGATAACAAAGACTATCTCCTGGCCTGTTGATCTGGCACACTGATGTGTCTGGCCCCTCTCCAGCTAGCATGCAAATTGTGGTACTGCAGAATGAATCGGCACAGTGTGCTGTGCACAGCACACAGTCAATGGGGTGCCACTCAGCTCCGGGCCTAGCAGTAAATAATGCAGGATTATAACCTTTGCTAGTCTGTGCTTGTGAATTCTGTGCTTCCCTCTCGCCTTGCTGTCTTCTGCTGGGGTTGAAGTTCTGCATTCCAGTGGTGGATTATGAGCAGCACAGTGAGAGCTGGGTGCTCAGCCCCACGCAACCGCCCTCACTAACCCAACCCTGAGATGCTTTAGAGCACCATCCCTCTTTCCATGTGCCCTGGCATGTGGAAGAGGCTGTCAGCACTCACCATGTAATAACAAGGAACAACATTTGCCAGTGGAACTATCCCTGACACCTCAAAGCAAAGTGGCAGTAGCACGGGGAGAGATGCTACTTCAGTAAGAATGTTCTTTTGCTTCACAGATTGGAAGCTGACCCGTACACTGAGAGCCAGGTGCTTCCAAAAAGGATGCTCAGTTTGATTTACAGTCAAGCCAAGTGAGGTGAAGTTGGCTCACTCCAGTTTCAGGGCTGAATGAAATACTGGCGAGCTTTGCTTGTGTTGGTCAGTCCTTCTTTGTGAAAGGTGCAGCCAGCAGTGTTGTACATCTGTCAGACTTGTTATCTCCCCATCCAGTGGGGTTTGCATAAGAGGATTCCTCTCTCATGTCATGGTCTCATGACTCTGAGAAGCTTTCTGCTCCGCTACTCTGCAGCCCATTCATCTCTTCTGCCAGGCCTGAAATCCTGCTGTGCCCAGGAGAACAAAATGCGTGTGAGAAATCCCAGTGCAGGAACCTGCACACTGCGGGAGTACAACTGCTCTGCTTATTCTTCAGTAGAGCCAGTATCATTGGTGAGGAGCTGTAATCTCTATGCATCTTCCTATTTGAAGAATTCAAAGCTGGAAAGCAGGCAGTATTTAGCAAAGTTGACTGACAACTGTATTTCAGATCAGTCTATCTGTCTGTCTCCCTTTTCCAGTACAATGTGAACACAGTTTACCAAGTCAGTCACATTAGGTGAGCAAAGAAATTAAACCTAATAATAACAGAGATGCCTTCTAGTCACTTCATTTGCAGGGCCTCTCTGATCTGGTAGCCAGCTGCAAGGTATTCCACAGCCTTTTTGTCTTTCACTGCCTCTTGTCCACCCGACTAGAGAAGCATGAGTTTCTGTACTGCTCCGAATAGTAATCATAGGAAAACATTTGACTGTTTAGGAAAAATGCCACAATCCTTCAAAATTCCACTGTCATTCCATGTGAATTCATTTCAGGGAATCACACCATCTTTTGTAGGTGAGGAGTTCCCAGTACTGAGGCTGAGCTGACTAACAGAAATAGAGCCATTCATACTGCTTTCTTGCTCTGGAGTCTCACCAAAATACAAGCAGTTGCTGATGTAGGACACACTGCTGTTAGGAACATCAGTGACATGTCTCTTGTATGTGATTAACTGGAAGTAAAAATAGATAAACTGAATCAATGACAAAAAGCAGGTTCTCTTACCCAGATTACACATCTGGATGGAGTACATGCACAACCATTCCCTCCTTCTAACAGTTTGGGGGAAGACATACAACACTGCTTTTCTTTCTGACACAACACACTTACACTTCATCTGACTCATGGGGAAAGACCCTGTCCTGCTAGACTATCATGAAGTAGGATGCAGAGAAGTCACACTTGCAGTGATCAAATGGATACTTCCACATGGTCCAGTGCCCAGCAGAGATCCTAGCTGGCATCCTCAAACTGTACAGCTATTTGGGCCTGATTGTTCAGATGTGATAATCTGAGTGAAAATACTTTTCCAAGTAACGGACAGCAGTGCCAAGCTGCAGAGAGCAGCAGGTGGAAGGATTTTATCTGCTGCTTTGTGATTTTTCTCATTTGTTTGCTTTAGGAGTGCTGATGTGGGAGGTCTTCAGTGAAGGTAAAATCCCCTATGAGAATCGCACCAATGGAGAAGTGGTGGAAGAAATCAACGCAGGATTTCGGCTCTACAAACCCAAGCTGGCCTCCAAGGCAATTTATGAGGTCATGAGCCACTGCTGGAGGATGGTTAGTATTGTAATGGGAGAGCCCTAGTTCCCAAAGACAAAAGCTCTCTTCCCCTTGTCTTTCTGGAGGAGAGAAAGGTATACACTTCACTACTAAAACAAGACAAAATCCTGGAGCTGAAGCACTCTGTAGCTTTCATCTGCTTTGACAAGCAGACTCCAGGCTCTTTGCCTTTCATTTAAGCTGCTGTTTCTATAGAGTGTATTCACTGAGAAGCCTATGTAAGGCACCTAACTCAATTCAACAGTTTGCTTCCTAAGAAAGCTGCAAATCTGTGGGGCTGAGTTTTAATAGTGATGGTAAAAATGACAGCCAACCACTACAAGGTGCTTAGTGTCCACTGGGCAAACTCACTGCTAGTAGCAATGAAACACTGCAGAGAAGGAAGCTCATTCTTCTGCTGGCATTTTCTCTGTAACAATAGCTTGTACTTTTGTTAATACTCAGTTTCCAGTTTTCCTTCCTAATCTTGCCATTCCTCACAAGCTGACATTAATGTTCTCCCACTCTCTTCTCTCCCCTGCTCAGAGGAAAGATGACCGGCCATCCTTTTCTATTCTGCTGTACCAGCTGAGTGAAATCTCTGAATTGGATCTGTAATCATGGCACCAGCTGCTAATTGAAGCTAAAAGAGTCCTGAGAGGGCAGATGGTTGGATTTTCCCCACACAAAGCATTAACAGGAATCCTCTCACCATAGATACTTGCCATATGCCTGGGGAGAAGGAGAGGGCAGAGGCTGGTACTTCCAGACAGACAAGATATCCCCAGGTCTTCCAGAGCCTAGACAGACACAGGCTTTGGTTTGGCCAAGAATGTGGTTTGCATCTTATAGGCAGAAGCAACAATTGGGCAGAGTCCTGAACCACACAATCCAGCAAGTGTTTTTGTCCTGAAGATACAGCCTCAAAACTAAGAGATCTGACATTGCTATTCCAGTTCTGTGAACTCCCAAATGAAGGTCTTCCCTGGGGAGAAAAACCTTGTTTTTAACTGAGGAGGAACACTTAGACATTTCCATGGCTCTCTAATCCAGAGTGGGCTGGACCTGAAAGCTCTGAACAGGAATAAGGCTGGGACACATGTGAACAGGCTGGACTGCATTTCTGATGCTGATATTCAAGGTGGTTTTACATGATTTTCTCTGAAACTGTGGCATAACAGGAACAGGATTCTGGTACCTGTTAAACTGAAGAGGTATCTGTGTGTACATGTGAGTGTTTAAGGAAGGAGTTGAAAAAGCCTTGAAGTTCTCTCAAATTGCATTGTATAGAGAATGGGAAAATTGGACTTTCTTCAGTCTTTCTACATCAGGAGATAAATACATGATCTCCATGTAATTTGTTTGAACTGAGTGTGGAGGCCTGAGCAGTGCAGAGTTCTATGTGTTTCTAGTCCAATGACGAGACAGGATCCCAGGATCTGATTATCTGTGAAAGGTCTAGGAACCTACTCCTCAACTGGTGTGTTGGGAAGGAAGGAGCCAGAGGGCTTGGAAGGGTAGCCACAAGGAGAAAGCATGCAGAGTATGTCCTCAGTTCACCAGTGATAATGAGTTTTCTCATACTTCAAAGAGTAACTGAATCATCACAAGTAAAGACTTTTCCATCTCTTCTGTGAACAGAGACTGATCAAAGAAATAGTCATATGCAAATTGACTGACTGGGTACGTACTCCACGAGGAGTTCCACGTTATGTGGTGACGGAAAAGAAGGTATAAACAATATCCATCCCCTCGTATTTCAGTCAAAATCTATGTTTTCACCACAAGACGGGCAGTGATTTGACATAACTGACCTGAAAGCCCAAAGCGTGGGTGCTGGTGTCCAGCAGAATTTGTAAGTAAGATCAGGACTCTCTGCTAAGCATTAACAATAACTAGAGAAGTCAAGAGGTCTCACGGATGTTCATATATGCAGTGTGTATTTTTGATGCTTCTCTGTTTGTGCAGGTAAGAATATGAGTAAACCTTATGTGACAGAAGTTTGCAAAAACTCTGAGGTGCAAACTTCCATGTCAGTACCGAAGCCAGGTTCAAATGTTTGCCAACAAAAATGGAACAAGGAAATAATGTAATCCCATGACCTCACATATCCTGTGTCAAACTATTTCTTTGTAGAAGGAGGCTTCGTTTTTGGTATTTTTCGGACCCATGGTTTTAGGGTAGCTTTTAGAAGCCAGAATATCTTCTGAGGTATATAGATATGGGGAAGGCATTAGTCCCTGCCATATACATCTTCCCACTTTGCTTTGGTTCCACATCATTGTCTTTGGTTTACTCCTACAAATAGCATGCAGAACGACTCTCCCAGGCAAGGAGAATATTAACATTCAGACCAGAGGTTGTCAATCCTAAATGCAGGATCAGAGTTCTACCTTCAAATCAGGATTGCTGCCAAAACATCTTGGTAGTCCGGACCAGTATGTGGAATGTGAGCATCCAGAAGCAGATTTTGAATTTAAGTGGATTTAAGCTAAGTTTCTGTTTGTCCTTCTCATCCTTTGGTCAGAGTCAGCCTGTTGTCCCATTCTGGTGGTGCTAAATTCAGCGTTTATCCAGTGAAGTTTTCAGTAGCCTTACCCATGTTAAACTGCACATCCACAGCTAAATTTGAGGACAACTGGCCATAACCCTATTTTCTTCCCTTCTCAATCACACTTACACAATCAGTACAACCACAGGATACTCTGAAATGATTATTCCCTGCCCACAGGCACCTGGTGCAGAGGTAACTGCAAGCTCACAAAGTTAAGCTTCTGGCTTGCTGCCCCCCTCCATCCTTGGAGGAACCAGGGGTCTGTTAAGCTTGAGGAGGTTGCTATTAAGTAGCAGCAATATTGCTCCACTGGGTAATGTTTCTGAGATTATATTTATATTTGGATGAAATAAGTGTAATATTTATTAGTTAGTGTGTTGCACAAAATAATACTGTGATTTTTATGTTCAGTTTCCTTCTGCGGTATTTCTATGTACACAATACATATTTTTACAAACAATAAAATTGCTAAGTCCCAATTGTGCCTATATAACTATAACAGCAAAAATGCAAAATCCATCCTCATGCACTTTATAATCACACAGCTTGCTCGTCCTCCAAATCCTCCCCACCAAGAAGCAAACAAGCATCTTCTGGCTTTCTGAAATATCTCTCAGAACTACGTCGGTGTTCTGGGGTTAGATTATGTGCTGGGTTTATGGGGGTAGGAAGTATCCAGAATCTCTGCAAATTGGGTAATTTAATACATGGACACATTTAGTAAATTAGATTTTTATAGATTGTTAAGTCTAAACATCCATTGTGGTGCTTTTAAATTCTCTTAATCTTCTCAAAATGGGGGTAGTAATATTTTAATGCTGCCAAAGGTTCGTTAGAGGGGACTTCACGAATCTCAAAAGGACAGTGCTGTAAGGTGATAGCTGCCTGGTATTAATACACTGTAACACAGTCTTCTCCCACCATAGCCCTTCCTATGGCAAGTTTAGACCTGTGCCCTTCATGTGGCTTAACTAGATATGTTCCCCACAAAATAGAGGTGTGAATATCAGTCTCCTGCT